AGAGACTATTGTCTACATTAATTCCACTTTTTGGAATTTATTGAAATTTTTTGTGGCTTAATATATAATATTGTTCCATGAATGTCCATAGTCACTTAAAGAGACAAGTGTCTACTTGCAGGTTAAAGAATTTTACAGGGACCAGCAATTGGCAATAATGGCGATGTCACTGGATTTCCATGTAGTTGACCGCGGTTTGCGTCCCGGTCCTGGTGCCTTAAACTCACGCAAGGCGCATGTGCGTGTGTGCCCAAGATCCTGAAAGAAGGGATTGCAGTGTGGCCATCCCCTCTGGGGGGTGATTTCTTGCTTTCTGTCTCTCTGTCTTTCTGGTGAGCGCTTCCGCCCTATAGCAAAAACCTCCCCCCCCCAAAAAAAAAAGAAAAAGAAAAAGAAAGAATTTTACATAAGTTATTCAATTTGCTTTATTAATTTTACTAGTTTTTTTCTGGATTTACTTTTTTTTTTTAGTTGGCATTCATAAATCGAGAGATATAAGTTAGAATATCATAATACTAGTGTTTTTTGTTTCTTTTTTTTGTGTTCTATGATTTTGGCTTTCCATGTGTTGCTTTCATATTGTTTGATATGTGGTTCTAAGTGTTCAAATCTTTATTGAGAATTGTACTCATTATAGTTTAAGGTTCCATTCCTTGTTTAGTCTAATGATTTTTTAGCCTAAATTCCTCCTTTTCTTTATTAAGATTGTGACCTCTGATTTCTTTTTCTTTGTAGTTGCCTAACATACCCATGGCTATATTTTAATTTTCAATCTTTTAAAATCACTTTGCTTTAGTTGTGTTTTCAAACAAAGTAGAGTCATGATTTGCATTTTTATTCAAATTTGAAAAATATTTTAATGTGACGCCCATTTATACTTACTAATATAATAGATAAGTTTTATCATTCTTCTATCTTATTGTTTTATATTTTCATTTTTAAGGGTTTTTAAAGAAAGTCCACCAAGTAATTTGTTTAAATTTTATTTATTTGTGATACTTAGGAAAGTTATTTTTATTCTAGTAGTTACCTTCATTTAATAGTTGCAGATGTTTATTTTTTTGGTATAGTCTATTATAATCTTTTTTTTTTTCTGGAGAGGTTTTCGCTATAGGGCGCGTGCGCTCACCAGACAGACAGAGAGAGACATAGAGACAGAAAGTGGCTTAATATATAATATTGTTCCATGAATGTCCATAGTCACTTAAAGAGACAAGTGTCTACTTGCAGGTTAAAGAATTTTACAGGGACCAGCAATTGGCAATAATGGCGATGTCACTGGATTTCCATGTAGTTGACCGCGGTTTGCGTCCCGGTCCTGGTGCCTTAAACTCACGCAAGGCGCATGTGCGTGTGTGCCCAAGATCCTGAAAGAAGGGATTGCAGTGTGGCCATCCCCTCTGGGGGGTGATTTCTTGCTTTCTGTCTCTCTGTCTTTCTGGTGAGCGCTTCCGCCCTATAGCAAAAACCTCCCCCCCCCAAAAAAAAAAGAAAAAGAAAAAGAAAGAATTTTACATAAGTTATTCAATTTGCTTTATTAATTTTACTAGTTTTTTTCTGGATTTACTTTTTTTTTTTAGTTGGCATTCATAAATCGAGAGATATAAGTTAGAATATCATAATACTAGTGTTTTTTGTTTCTTTTTTTTTGTGTTCTATGATTTTGGCTTTCCATGTGTTGCTTTCATATTGTTTGATATGTGGTTCTAAGTGTTCAAATCTTTATTGAGAATTGTACTCATTATAGTTTAAGGTTCCATTCCTTGTTTAGTCTAATGATTTTTTAGCCTAAATTCCTCCTTTTCTTTATTAAGATTGTGACCTCTGATTTCTTTTTCTTTGTAGTTGCCTAACATACCCATGGCTATATTTTAATTTTCAATCTTTTAAAATCACTTTGCTTTAGTTGTGTTTTCAAACAAAGTAGAGTCATGATTTGCATTTTTATTCAAATTTGAAAAATATTTTAATGTGACGCCCATTTATACTTACTAATATAATAGATAAGTTTTATCATTCTTCTATCTTATTGTTTTATATTTTCATTTTTAAGGGTTTTTAAAGAAAGTCCACCAAGTAATTTGTTTAAATTTTATTTATTTGTGATACTTAGGAAAGTTATTTTTATTCTAGTAGTTACCTTCATTTAATAGTTGCAGATGTTTATTTTTTTGGTATAGTCTATTATAATCTTTTTTTTTTTCTGGAGAGGTTTTCGCTATAGGGCGCGTGCGCTCACCAGACAGACAGAGAGAGACATAGAGACAGAAAGCGAGAAATCACCCCCCAGGGTGGATGGCCACGCTGTAGTCCCTTCTCCTCCATTCTCCTCTCCGGATCTTGGGCACGCACGCACACGCACCCGGCGTGAGTTCTAAGCCACCGGGTCCGGCACGCGAACCGCAGTCGACTACGTGGGAGTCCAGCGACATAGCCATTACGCTAACTGCTGGTTCCCTAGTCTATTATAATCTTGTGGGACCGCCATGTATATATGGTTCCTTGTTGAGCAAAATGTCATTATGTGGTATATGATTGCATGGCAAAATGTCTACTGTTTTAAAACTTGCAACTAAAACTTTCAAACCAACTTGGTAGTATTTATTTATAAATAAAAAATTATGTTTCTTCCTTTCTTGTTCTCCCATATCATTAGAATTTAAATAGCAAATCTGAACACTATATTTCTATAGATAATTGATTTGGGCTCTGACAGAACAAGTAGTTAGTTCATTACCCAGTGAGACACAGCCATGGAGACCACATGGCTTCAAGTTAACATCTTAAATTCGAGATAGGAATGTGAAGTAATGACGAAAGCTTGTGTTTGCAATAATTTTCAATTATCAATGGCATCTAAACATGCTCATTAACTCATCCTCTTAACCTTGACAATTGCAGTCTTTGATCATGTTCTACTTCATTACTTACGTTATTATTTATATGTCTTGACAAAAATATATCTTCTGTGTGTCAGAGCTGCGTAGTGGTGGTGGATGGATAGTTCTAATTATTTGTGTGAATGTGGAGGTATTATTTGATAGAAAGGCTATATTAATTTTTGGAGACTACATAGCGTCATGTGTTTGGGAGAATATATACTTAAGATAAAATCCAGCAACTTTCTGGTTAGTGTTTTGTTGAGCCTGTTATCTATAATTATGTATTTATATTATTAATAAAGGTGTCAGAATCTCTCAGATACAGAGTTATGTATTGTTACAAATATGAGCTTTATAAGTCACATGCCTAGATACACAAGTATCCAGAATCTACCATCTTAACGAATTAGTAAAGATCGTGAGATGGTGAAGTAAATGGAATTTTTGCTTAAGGTTATCAACCTACATAAATCAATAGTTTAATCTATTTGAAATAATTTTGCTCTGTAATCACATAACAAAATAAGCTTAAATTTTCAACTAGCTGACAAGATTTATGCTTAATATAAATACTGTGCTTCTTACTTAGAATCAGCTGATATTCCATGACAAAACAATTATAAATACAGAAGTACGAAAGAAGAAATAAGAAGAGCACAAGAAACAACACTTCCTGTTAATTCTCATTTGATGTAATTTGCATATTCTGCTTGGAAGATGTGTTTTTATTTTGTTAGTTTTAAGATAATCATCTATATTTAATTTGTAAACTATAATCTAATAAGGTCAAGAATCAAATCTTTTGTCAATCATCACTGCTGAAACAAATTTTGAGTATCATGTAATGAATTTTTAATAAACAAAAAAGACAAAAAAGACTTTGTGTTTATAATAATACTACTAAGATATTAAAAATTACAAATGTGACTATAAGTCACAGTTTAATTTCTTGACATGTGGAGAAACAATTTTTGTGAGATTTTAATGACATTAGAAGTCAACCTGATGGGGGTTGGTAGGTGGCATGGCGGTTAAGGGTGCTGGGCTCCCACATGGCCGACTGCAGTTCGAGTCCCAGACCTGGTGGCTCTTTCTTTTTTTTTTTTTTAAAGAGTTTTTTGCTATAAGGCATGTGCACTTGCCAGAAAGACAGAGAGAGACAGACAGAAAGCGAGATATCATCCCCCGAGGGGTATGGCCACGCAGCAATCCCTTCTCCTCCATTTTTCCTCTTGGGATTCTGGGCATGCATGCACATGCACCTGGCATGAATGTTAAGCCACCAGGTTACTTGAACTGCAGTCAACTACATGGGAGTCCAGTGACATAGCTATTATGACAACTGCTGGTCCCGTGGCTTGATTTCTCACTTTCCATCTCTCTCTCTCTCTCTCTTTCTCTCTCACTGTGTCCCTATGAGATCAAATTAAAAATAAAATAAATAAAAGGAAATAAATAAAGTTAAATAAAATAATTCTAAAAAATAAGCCATCAAGCTGGTACACTTTAAGTCTGACATCTCTATAATTCTATAACTACTGTGATTTTCTCAAAAGCTAGATTATTCAAGTTTATAATATTGATCGTAAATGATTTCCTCACCTGGCCAAGTCATGAGCACAGTGGTAGAGGCACTGTTGCATCATACATGAAACCCCACGGCAAGGTTCCAGGTTCACGTTCTGGGTCTACCTCACTACATCAAGTGAGCCCATGGTTGTGCTTTAATCCTGGCTGGCTAGGAACCTAGGTTATCCAGTAAAAAATGGATAGTCTTCGTAAGTTGGGGAGTGAACTGCGAAACTTACAGGGAAAAACAGGAACAATGTCTCTGACGTACTATTCTATGCAAATACACAGTTAACTGAAATGGGTTTATAGTGTGACATCATGTAGTTATTATAATCGGACAAACACATTTTGGGTTTAATTTGACCTGAAGAACATATTCTAAAGGGCTAAAAAAGTATTGGAAATTATCAGAAAATACTGTTCAAGCTCTAACTTTTTGAAGGTCTTTTATTTTAAAAACGGGAAACAATGTAATTATGGAATTTTTTTGCACAATTTTCTCAAATCTCATTGATTATACCTGTTAACAATGATAAATTTACTTGCCTAGGTTCACAAGTTCTGATTCTTCAATTTTTTGTTGCACAGGCTCAGAGAGGAAAAACCCAAGTACGTAATCACTCTGAAAAACAAAATAAAATATAATGTTTATTTCTTATACATATTTCCTTATATACATAGAGTTATTTATAAACACTTGTTATAGATTCAAAAAATAGATATTATATATTAGTAAGTTCATTAGGTCAATCTATCATTTAATCATAAATTAAGCTAGTCTTTCATAAGATTGGAAGTCTGATGACTACATTTCTTCAAGAGCCTCCAGTGGGCTCTGTTCTTAGAACTCACCACAAATGTTTACATTCTTGAATTTTATAGTTATGTATACATTTTACATCTCCATCTTTTTAAAAATGTGTTTCTTCTTCTGTGGCTTTCTAACAATTGCTCTCAGTAGGGACACAGAGTCTCAGTTAGTGAGGAGCTGTTACTCCTCAAGGTTCAGTTCTAGGCGTGGATACGGACTACATTCAGAACACGGAGTTAGGGGATGTCTAGAGACAGAAGGATACAGAGGTAATCTCTTTCTTTAGAACACAGTCTAGCAGAAGAGACAAATGACAGTAATTGCTTTAGCCGAGATCCTATTTATGTATAATTTTAGTGCAGAGAATCAAATGTGCTTCTCTTCTGAAGGGATGATCAATAACAAATCAACATTTCGACAGGGCTCCAAATGAGTGGCTGGCTGGAGGATCAGAGAAGCTTTTCCTGGGTGAGACTGGCACACGTTTGGCTGTAAGCTGTGATATAACCCAAGGTGCCCTCCTCGTGGGGCCTTACGTGATTGTTTAGAGGGTTTCACTGAACATGGACTATTTCCTCTGACTACCTGTCCTAGGCCGATGCTGCAGTAGCTGTCCAAACTGCCTGACAGTCTCCCTAGTCAGCTTTCTTCCTTGTTCTGTGCAATAACGCTTTCAAGCCTCTTCCAGGAAACTTCAATTTCCGACTGACTTCTCTGCCAACGACTGGGTCTCCACTTCAGAGAAAATAAGAGGCAACTGGGAACTCCTAAACTTCTGGCTGTAAAATCTACTGTTGCACACATGTAAACTTCCTTTATCTTCCTGTTACAATGGGAGAATTGTTTTTCTTTTTTTATTACTATTGTTGTTCAGAAGAAATGTCTTTCTATGGGTTATAGGTTGAATTATATTCCTCCCCCCTCCAGAATGCACATATTGAAGTCTGTATCCTTAATGCCTTCGAACATGGTCTTATTTGGAAATAGGGTCATTGCAGACATGATCAGTGAAGTTAGGGTGAGGTCATACTGGAATGGGGTGAACTTATAATCCAATTTGATGGGTGTTCTATGAAAAGTGGAAATTTGGAAACAGACACTGAGAGAGACACAGAGACAGAGAGACACAGAGAGAGGGAGAATGAGAATGTGAAGAAACTTAGAAAGAAGATGGCCATCTATGAGCCTAGGAGTGAGGTCTGGAATTCTTTCCTCATAGCTGTGAGAAGGAATGAACCCGAACCCCACAGACACTTTGATTTCAGACTTCTAACTTACAGAACTGTGAAATAATAAATTTCTACTTTTTAAGCCAGCTAGTTAGTGGTACTTTGTTTTGGGTGGGTCTAGCAAACTACCCAGCATTGATCCTTTTCTCAACTTTATGAATTCTGTTTATCCTCTTTAGAAACCTATGGAACATTCCAACCCAAACTTTAACATCGTCACTATCCCCTCCCCTTTTTTCATTACTATAAAATATGATCAAATCTCATTATTTTGAAAACTAAGACAAAGATGAGTCAAATCACACTTGGGTATACTCACATTTAAATAATGTCTAGGGCCAGATTGGTAGTACAGTGGTAAAGCAATGGGGGGTCACATATGAAAGGACTTGGTTTCAGATCCCAGGACTTCCCTGATCACATCGGGTACAAGCATTTGCTTGTGATCCAGGCTGGTTGAAGATAGGGGAGAGGAGGGTGTGAAGAACCTGCTGGGGAGACCTCTCTCTCCCTCTTTCTCTTTTGCTCATGGAAGAAACAAATAAATAAATAAAAATTTTGTCACTAATGCTCCTCCCCTCCACGTCTTCTGTGACCTTTCTCTTCCCTGAAAAAAATTCTGAGGAAGAGTTGTCTGGACTCACACTGGTTCTACTTCTTTAATTTCTACTTGTTTTAGGATTGACCACAATTTGGTTTCTGCCACTGAAAAGATTCTTAGAGTCGTCTTTAACAAACTCTCTTTTCATTTTGTTTATTTATTTTTTTGAGAGAGATTTTTTGCTATAGTATTACATGTGCTTGCTGGAGAGACAGACAGAAAGTGAGAAATCAACTCCAGGGAGATGGCTGGGCCACAATCCCTTCCTCGCCATTCTCTCAGGGTTTTGGGCACACACACACTCATGCCCAGTGTGAGATTTAAGCTACCTGGTCCAGGACTTGAACCATAGTTGACTACATGGGAGTCCAGTGATGTAACCATTATGCCATAACCATTATGTCAAAAAAAAGAGTTTGTTAGACCCAACAAACTCTTTTTTAAAAAATATCTTTGTCTCCAATCCCATGGGGATTTCCCTGGTCCTTATTAGTGATTTGAACACTTTTAGTGAAGTGTTCTTTCTTTGTCTGATTTTATGATACAAAGCTTCTCAGCTTTTCTTCCATCTCTTCTTACACTTTTATTCAGATTCACATTTTCTTCTGCTTATAATTTAAGTTTTAGCCCTCCTCACTTATAGGTCCATCTCTCTTGTTACTCTGTGTGTTCTTTCTAGGTGTTATCGTCTTTGGCAGCAACTATAGAAGTGCACAAATCTAAACTTTACTCCAGATTTATCTCTTTATATCAAAACACTATTTATTAGCTCACTTGACTATTCTAATGACAAGTCAAGTACCAAAGGTACACATTCTAATGGTTTATTTTCCCTCATCTCAATTTGCAACTTCTCCTTTGTACAGGCTCAAAGTAGGGTGTACTTTCTTCAACTTTTTGTTCTCTTCACCTCCCACAAAATTAATTGCTGTCATGTGGATCGCACTCCTGAATATTTCACATACACACTTCTTTTGAGTATACTGCCATTTTCCTAGTTACCACATATCATCAAATCTCAACTAGGTTATAGACAGGATTTCCAACTCTATCTTATTTGTCTTTAATTTAATTAATTCTCTACTCAATTGCCAAACTTTCAAATTTAAAATCTCATAATTAACTCCTTAAAACTTGGCAGTGGCTCTATATGAGTCTTAATAAAAAGACCAACTACTTAAGGCTTATATGACTGTTCTTGATTTGGATCTTATTTCCTTTCCCTCCTCTGTCACCTTTTCTTTTCTGGTACCTTCTGTTTAGCTACGCTGAATTATATTATTTTCTCAAATATGTGCTCTTACCTCCTCATGTTCCTACCTGCTCTTCTCTCCTTCCTTTCCACCCTGATTCACCCAAAGTTCATTATGTGTTCTTTTTTTCTACTCTTGCTACTCTAGTAAATGCAATAGTAAGAGCAGAGGTTGTGGGCTGACTCAGGGGTGCACCAGTAATTCACTTCTCAAGTGATACTGGGTCCATATGAAAAATTATGGATGTGACTCCCCAGTAGACCTATCTACATGTTGGTTGCATGTACCTGTGATCCTGGCTGGCTGGGGTCATTGAAGTGGGGTGCAGATAGTGGTGTAAGACCCAGTTGAGGGGCTTATCTCTCTCTTTTGTTCTTATGAAAGGAATAATTTCAAAAAAGAAGAGCAGAGATTGTGCCATTCACTGGTTCAGTTCTGTTCAATAAATAATTAGAACAAAAGCAAACTTCTGTAGTTTGAATGTATCCCCAAAGTTCATTATGCTGGAAACTCAGTTCTCAATGCAACAGTGTTGAGAGATGGGACCTTTAAAAGGTGATTGGATTGTGATGGTCTTGCCCTTATGGCTGAGTTAATGTCACTCTCTCAGAAATGGGTTTGTTGTAGCGAGAAGTTTGTTTCAAAAGTAAATTCAGCCCTCTCTTGCTCTCTCTTGCTCTTCTGCCGTGGGCTGAGACAGCAAAAAGACCCTCACCAGAAAAGGCCCGTTGGTCTGGGACTTAGCAGCATCTATAACCGTGAGAAAAATAGACTTCTATTGTTCATAAATTACTCTGTTTATGGTAGTATCAGTGCACAATGGATTAAGACACAACAAATCTGTCTTGAAATATGGAGTATATTGGTTTCTAATGCAAATATTTTCTCTATGTGTCTGTTTAGAAAGTGTGAGGGCATACTTTTGGTTTGTCTCAATGACTGGTGTGTACAACTGGCAATTAATAGGCAAGACTGCTTATCCCAAATGCCCTGAAATATCTGTAAGATTCTCAGTCAAGAAGAATGTCCATGCCTTGTTATAAATTAGTCAATTACTAATTTTCATCTCTACATACTGATCTCTTCGAAGGTTGTTTAATAGAGTTCTCCTTTTAAAAAAAGAATCCATATTTAAGGAGCTGATCAAGTCAAATTTTCAATTTTTTAAATGTTTGCTTTTTAATTTGGCAAAGGGCATGTGTGTTTACTGGAGAGGGGCAGAGAGACAGAGAGACAGAGAGAAAATGAGAAAGCACTTTCCACAGGAAAAGGTCATACTGCAACCTGTTCTCTCTCTCTGCCTCTTTTTGGGATTTTGGGCACATATACACAGACCCTGCATGTTTCTTAAGTTGCTGGGTCTGAGACTAAAGCTGTGTGGTTGTCTATGTGTGATTCAGCTGCCTTAACTACTAGGGCATAGGCTGGCCCAAGATTTTTATTTTTAAAGCTTAAAATCATATCTTAGACTGTGTAGAGTTTGTTGAAGAAAATTTGATCTCCTTTGGCCTTTTGACAACTAATCAATTATTCTTAGGCAGCACTTTGACCTCAGTACCCAATGGTTATTAAACTTCAATAGTAGGCAAAATGTCTTTCCAATTAGTGTCTGAAATGTCATCACTAGCTAATTATTCCCCTGTATTTACACTGTCATATACTCAAAGTCTTCATTTATAATTCTGGGTGTGGGAGATGTACTAAATACCAATTCCTTATCCAAACAAG